CATTAACTCCACCGACGCGACGAACCTCATCTTGTGCAAGGTTTTACTAGATGGCTCCACTCGGAACCTTGAGAAGAACTTCACCAAACACACGATGGACTGCACCCTCGCGAAGCGCATACCTACGGCAGAAGACGACTCGAGGTCAAATAATTGACAAGTACTGCACACTCTTCCTTTGACGCTAAGTTAATGATTTTATGCCTCAAGAAATTCTGTTTCTTATAAAAATCACCCGTTCAATCAAATTGGAATAAAATTATAAAATTGCATTCAAAACTACGACTGAGGCTCAATATTTAAAATTGCTTTCAAAGGCTGATTTACCACGGCCACATATTATAATTGTTAACACTTGTGTTCTATTGTAATGATCGTAAAAGAGTTTCATATTAATTTTAAATATTCTATGAAGAAAAAAATACTGATCCGAAATATTTATCCTTAAATCATACAAACAAGATATATATCTACGAATGAAAATCGTCAAAAATTACATATATGTAATTGTAATGTTTTTTTAATCAGATTGATTTGATAATGTATCTAAGTAAACTCACTGGTAACACGCAGTAGGGCTCTGTTGATTAAAAAATCAGTAAATACTCTGATATTAAAATACACGCAACTTACCAATGCAATTCCTCGGGCCAGTTCCAAATGGCAAATAAGCACACGGGTGTCTTCCGCTTGCTTTTTCAGCAGAAAATCTTTCGGGATCAAATTCCTCCGGGTTTGGGTAGTACTTCTCATCATGATGGATGCTTAAACCAGATATTATTACCATTTGATCTTTTTTCACTGTGATGTCGGTGCCGGGTAATTTGTAGTCTATTTGTGCTCTCCTCTGTAAAGGTTCCACTATAGGATACATGCGTAATGTCTCATCGAAGGCTTTATTCAAATAGTTTAAGTCACTGAGGATTTCGGGTGCCATCTTCCCTTCGTGCTTCTTTAACACTTCATCCACTTCATCAATCACTTTTTTCTGGATGTCCTGATTCTTCGCCAGCTCGTATAACATAAAAGCCATTGTACTAGCACTAGTCTCGTACCCACCAACGTAAAACGCGAACGCTTGCGCGGCAATTATGTCATCTGTGATTTCTACGGTTATTTGAGCTTGATCGTCGGCCCTTTTGGTCCCATGTATTTCACGCTGCTGTCTCAGTTCTAGAATCAAGTCCATGAAGTCCTTCCTGTTTGAAGGTACGCCATTCCTGTCCTTGATAACGGTAGAAACGAGCTGTTGGAAAAACTGGGTCACCTTCTTAGGAAATAATTCCAAATTCAACTTCTTTAATATGCCAGGAAACATCATATCCAGCTCGTCGATGAACGTCGGTGATCATTTTGTCCAATTCCACCAAAACGTCGATTTTGTCGTTCAATGTGTCAAGGTCCAGACCAAAGGCGCAAGCCGAAATAGTTGCCATCGTATATCTCTGAAGTAGCGCGTGCACTTCAAACTCACTTTTCTTCATGCATTGGTCTTCGAGGTAGTCAACAAATTTATCACCCCGCTGCTCGAGTAAATATATCATATTCTTTAGCTTACCCGACGTGAATATAGGCGTAAATCGGTTCCTCAACACTCGCCACTTGTCGGAGGTGGAGAAGAACAGGTTGTTGCTCAGTCCTTTTTCGCTTAACGACAGACCTCGGTCGGAGAAGCAATCAAAGTCTTTAATGAGGACGTGTTTGATCAATTCCAAGTCCCGAAGCAGTAGGCTAGGTGTCGTCATTCTGTATATACCCACAACTTTCTCATCGGGGAACTGGTCGTAGATCTCCTTGAAAACCATCCCGATATTCTTCTTCCTGAGAGCAGAGTCCATCAGGTTGCCAAACAGCGGGAGTGGTCTCGGCCCGGGAACGTTCCTTCTTTTCCAGTAGCTAAATGTCCTGGTCAAGTAGTAGTACAGCATGTAACATGCCGTTAACGTAGCGATCAATACGTATGGAAATAACATTCCTAAAACAAGCCTCGTATCCCCAGATGTTTTTATGATTTAAGCGGTTTATCTTTCGCAGCTTCATTTTTATAGAGGAGCACACCAGTATACGTACACAAACACGTTCACTCGCGTACTTATTAGAAGCGGATTTAGTTAAGCGAAGGTGCCTAACAGAGCATAGTCTACGACGCGATCCCAGTACAAATTGGCGAGATTCACATATCTTAGTCACTTGTAATTTTGTTATTCGAAAACATGTAGGTTTCCTCACGGTGTTTTACTTCACCGCAGAGCACGTGATAAATCAGCCCTTAATATTATCATTTATCATCCTTGCACCAGGATATGAACTCAGGTTCGTCGAATATATTTCATTAAAAGCAAATTATAATTATTAATCTATAATATTATGAAGAGGAAATCAAATTTTAATTAATCTATACTATCTATACTAATATAATAAAGAGGAAAGGTTTCATTGTTTGTATGTATTGAATAGGCTCCGATACTACTGATCCGATTTTAAAAATTCTTTCACTGTTGGGAAGCTACATTATCTCCGTAGGACATAGGCTATATTATATTTTCAAAAAAACCAGGGATCCTTACTAAAACTCCAATAATGTTACTCAAGGTGTACAAAAATTACCTAAAATATTCTTTACGTCGCGTGCGCTGCGAAATCTATTGATGATAGAAGAAAATAATGTACTACGACTTTGCAGAACACATCATTATTTACAAAAAGTGTCGCGATAGCATATGTCCAACTATTATATATACTTTCTATAAACTATTATATTATATATACTTTCGCGTTTCGTCTGGTGAGTGAGGTAGCCGGAGCCCAATTTTCAAAAGGTTGTCAACGCATCTGTAACCCTCGGGAGTGGCAGATGTCCATGGGTGGCGGTATTCACTTAACATCAGGTGAACCGTCTGCTCGTTTGACAACTTTTCGCATAAAAAAAAATATTATAGTTATGCCACAATGGGTATTTTTGTATTTTAAAATTTTAATTGATATGCCGCCGCTAGAAAAGGCTCTTTATTTGTATCTTGGTATTAATCCTTATAAAAATAAATTAGTTCATATTCATGACTCTTTCAATATATTTATATACCTTTTTGAATTATTCAATTTGGACATTTTATTCGAAATATATCACAGTTTGTGTGATATTTAAAAAGGCCCCAGAGACACAGGGTTGCACCGTAGACACGACCAACTTAAAAGGGTCTCTGAGTTACACCGATTGTATGATCCATAAAAATATCCCTTAATAGTCGTAATACGAGAAGACGGTTATTATTTTACCATTCCTCAGCAAGGTACAGCGCGTAACAGAACTGTGACATGCATGCAATTTTATGCATTTAGGTTGATGTTTAGAGCTACCTGTTTTAATCCTTTGCATTGTTACAGGGACTTATTAGGGTTCCGTACCCTATTATTAAGACCCCGCTGTCTATCTGTCTGTCCGTATGTCTATCCATGCTTCACCAGGCTGTCTCATGAACCGTGATAGTTAGACAGTTGAAATTTTCACAAACGATGTATTTTTGTTGCCGCTATAACAACAAATACTTAAAAACAAAAAAAAAACATAAATAAGTGGGGCTCCCATAAAACAGACATGATTTTTTACCGTTTTTATAGATAATGTTGACAGTAGTGTTTTTTGACAATAAGTAAGTGTAATACTTCTATATTGAATAAAGATATTTCAATTTGAATTTCTTTTTAATGTAATAAAGTGGCAAACGAGCTGGCGGTTCACCTGATGTTAAGTGATAACCGCCGCCCATGGTCATTTGCAACACCTGTAGCATTGCAAATGAAGTCTTCTGTGAGGTCGTGGTGCTTACCCGGACGGACCTGCCTATTGGTGCAACAGCGAACACTATTGCTTGGTCCTACCACAGTTACTATCATGTGAACCACCTGCTCGCTTGACAACTTTTCACATATTACTATGTGGAAAATTTACTAGGACTAATTAGCGACGTGTTCATGACGAACAAATATAGTGAGTACGTATATTGAGAAACATTTAAAGAAAGAAATCCAATTACAACAGTACTTTTGTGAAATTAAAATTAATCGACCGTAAGGTTTCAAAGGAAAAGATGTTTATATAATTATTATATTAGGACTGCATTGTAATAGATTTAAACCTACAAAATTATAGTATTTAATAAATATTGGTCGTCATACATTAATTAAAAACTTTAAAAAAAAAACCTAATAAAATAAAGAAATTTAAACTATTCCATAAAATTATATCGTAAATTACTGTTGACATGAGTTAAGTAATCGGCGATCGGTATTCCAATAAAAAAAGATTTATTTAATTAATTACAAGGTGTTAACTGTATGACAATTTGGAATGGACTGATTTATAATTACAAAAACTTATGAACTAAAACTAATGGTGTCAGCGTTCCTTCGATGCGCCTTCGCCGTGCTGAGTCTGCAGTAATCGTGGCTATGACGTGCTAACTCCTCCCTCCTTAAGATAGAAGCGAGAGTCGGAGCTTCTAGCAGCGTCCTCGCTGCTGTTGCTATCCTGTGGTAGTCTATTGGTTTTCCACTTGTACAGCTTCCAGATGGCCGCTACACTCAGCAGCCCGTATAGCATTAAAGTTGTCCAGCTGGGGGTTGCCATCAGGGTTGTCCAGTTGGATTCATCTTGTGGGATTATGTCATCTATCTTGTTGATGAGTTTGTGGATGCTGTCTAATGAGATATCCTCTTGATGTAATTCAAACTTGATGTGTTCTTGCGTGATTTGCTGTGCCTCAGGAAGGGGGATGGTTTCGTCGTTGAAGACTGTTCTCAGGTGGGTCTGTAGTGCTATTCAGGACATGCATCCGACAATCTTCAGTGAGTGTGACTATGAACGTTCCTTTCGTCTTTTTGTAGTCTGTCTTGGTGCCACACTGGATTTTGATAATTTCATCATCTTGCAGGATCAGTATCCAGCTGTTATCCCGGATTTTCTGGATTTTTCCTTTGGTCAGGTGCAGCTTGGTATACGTGCAATTGGCTTTCTGATGTTGGACTAGCGACCCTATGCAATCTTGTGTGTTTTTCATTCTTCTGACTTCCAGGGATTTGCAGAGATGAGTGTCATCGGTGATTGGTTGGCAGTCTTCTTCCTCGATGTGGGCGTACTCATCGCTACCAAGTGCAAGGTATTGGACTTCGGGATTATAGTTAGGTTGTTGCGGTCAGGAATGGAGTAAAGGTGAATAAAATCGTATATTTTTGAATCAACAGAGGGGATTTCCAGGATAAAGTTTATTGAGTGTGGTGTACTATATGCTTTAACCTTTATAGATTTCTCTATCTTATGTATATATATATATAATATTTATCTCATCTACTGGATTCATTGAATAATGGTTACGCAAAATTACTAATTCTTTAATAAGATTTTGTGAACCAATAACGCTTGGATGCATAGTTCCTAATTGAGCGAATGTGACGGCATCTTCCAAAGTCATTAACTTTTCTAAAATTATTTGTAAACTTAAGTCTATCTGTAAATATATATCTAATAAATGTAAACTGTCCCTAATTCCATTAGAGTTTTGCGTTATATTTTGCAATATCTTAACTACATATTTCTGATTTTCCTCTAATTTACTTATTTGACTGCCGAATTCATTGATCATACTTTTTGCTAATATTAAGGATTTCTTTTGTGAATTTTGAACTCTATTAACCTTGTTACTTATATCTGAAATTTCTTTCTCGAATTTAACAGCATCGTCATTATCTAAGTTGCCGGTTATTGTTTTTACGATTGAACCTAATCCGTTTATTATTCCGCGCTTTACCCTAACTGGGGGAATCAAATATGCTAACTTTTTATTTATTAAACTTATACTATATAATATTTGATCCTCGTAGGACTTATAACTATAACTAGATGTTAGGGTATTTTCAACATCTTTAGTGCTCGCATATAATGCCATTACTTTAATTGTTGCTAATTTTATGTTTGTTATGTTATACACACAAGCTAGGCTAAAGTAGTCGGTCTGTCTAAGTAACTGTCCCTGTTTGAGTAATAATATGCCATTATCGTTACTAATGGGATCAAGGGTCACTTTTGCGATTGCGTAGAGCACGATGGCTCCTGCGATGATGATCCTGGAACAAGATGAGGCCTACGTAGTAGTTTGAAGTGAACTCTTATAGACTTTGAATTTGGGTGACTGCCTATGATCTCTGCGATACTATTGGGGTGTAGATGGATTACCTTATAGGGTCCTTTGAAGACAGGCTTCGTCTTGTCATTCCGCACTGTCTTTGCTACCTGCTTATAAACTATTTCACCTACCTTGAATGATACTTCTTCGGCATCTCGGTTTCGTCTTGCGATAACCTGTTCTTTATTACCGGACATGTAAGCTGCAACACACTCCTGTATCGCTTCTGCGTTCGTTCTGTGTTTGAGTACATAATCCTGATAGATTTCCTTGGGGAAAAACATTTCTAATGGGTTTCGAGATGCTGTGTGACCAAATAGTAGTTCATGTGGTGTATAGCCTGTTACGGAATGTATCGCGTTATTATATCCTATGATTGCGTATTTCATAACAGATTGAATAGGATCTTCTTTGTTAGTCATTCTTTGTATACGGATAATCTCGCCTAACGTAGAATGTAGACGTTCTACTGGAGAATTAGAGTTGGGGTTGTATGGGGTGGTAAAATGTATGTTAATGTCATGTAACGCGCAGATCTCTTTAATAACATCGTTATCGAATTTACTATCTGAGTCGGTTGTAATTTTATGGGGTAGGCCTAATACAGATATGACTTGCAAAAGTGCTTCGGCTACATGCACACTACTACATGCGTTTAATGGTACCGCTTGAGCATATTTTGAGAAATTATCAATTATTGTTAGAAATGTTCCACCGCCTGTCGAATACAAGTCCATAAATAGATGTTC